ACCTTAGGTGTATGTGGCTGGCGCCTCAGCCGCTTGAGCCACAGGCGCCGAGCCGAGCATGAGAATTTCTAAAGATGCTGAGAAACCCTGGTTCTTGGTGAGTCTCCCACATAAATTCTCTGGAAGTCCATATGCTCTGAATTCTTAGACCGTTAGCAGGAATCAGAGTTGAAGGAGGGGAATGGCTCTGCACGAGCCTCGCCCGGACCAGCTAAACAAAATGACAATAGCAACAAGAAAATAGCCAGGCATTGTGGCAGGCTCCTATAGTCCCAGCTTTGGGAGGCTGAGGCAAGAGAATCGCTTAAGCCCAAGAATTTGAGGTTGCTGTGAACTGTGATGCCATGGCTCTCTACCCAGTGCAATGTAGTGAGACTATGTCTCAAAAAAAAAGGAGGGGAAAGACAGAAGGGCTAAGAGCCTAAGCTCATTACCAAATACCAACAACTACATACCGTTTTGGTCTTCAGCACCACACACTGAAAAGGAAAGAGAAAGATATCTGAATAGGTGATGATGGGTTGAAGAAGTCTCCCACACCCTCCTGTCATTTCTGACTACTCCCTGCTGGAACCAGACTTGCCAAGAGGCCCCCTGCGGGGGGAGGTGTTGAACCTGCAGCTCACAAGGGCCGATTGCTGATTTTGTGAGGACTTTTTTGCTTATCTGTAATGTCAGATACCACAAAAAGTATACACTAACTTTTTGGGTGCTAATTAGCTTTCTTTTGTTAGTGTTTATGTATTTAACATATGGCCCAAGACAATTCTTATTCTTCCAATGTGCAGCACAGAAAAAAGAAAAAAAAAGTTGGACATCCCTGGCACACACTCGCCCTCTTCACTCGCTCTCCACTGAGAACTGACTGACACAAAGCTCCTGCTGGTGCATTTGATCTACTTTTAGAAAAAGGTATTCCACCAGTTTGCATGAACAAACTGCCAAGTAGTAGGATACTGTATATGCACAATATCCTTCTCTGATGCTTTCAAAGCCAGCATCAAAGTCTGGCTGCTTTACACAGCCAGGAAGTCTGGATAAAGTTCCCAGTCATCTGTTCTATTCCTCAGCTCCTCACAACTCTAGAGACTCTTGAGGCAATCCCAAAGGAAGAACGAGACTCCAGCAGGTTTCAGCTGTGAGGAGACAACCAGACAACTGTCCTCTAACTGATGAATCTAAGCTAACTGATGAATCTAAGCTACCTACAGGCTGTCCTCATCCACTGTTTCCTTATAAGGAATGAATACATTGCTCTGCAGAACAAAATCAGTGGGGATGGGAGAGAAGAAGGTCCTGTGGGGAATTTTTTTTTCCCCTTGAGACAGAGTCATACTACGTTGGCCTCAGTAGAGTGCTATGACATCACAGCACACAGCAACCTCCAACTCTTGGGCTTAAATGATTCTCTTGCCTCAGCCTCCCGAGTAGCTGGGACTACAAGTGTCCACCACAATGCCTGGCTATTTTTTTGTTGCAGCTGTCATTGTTGTTTAGCAGGCTGGGGCCAAGTTCAAACCTGCCTGCCTCAGTGTATGTGGCTGGTGCACTAATCACTGAGCTATGGGGCCAAGCCATGGGGAAGTAATTTTAAAAAATGCCATGTTATGGCTCAGCACCTGTGGCTCAAGCGATGTTTAAAACAGCCAAACAGGGTGGCACCATGGCTCAGTGAGTAGGGCACTAGCCCCATATACCAAGGGTGGCGGGTTCAAACCCAGCCCCAGCCAAACTGCAACAAAAGATAGCTGGGCATTGTGGTGGGCGCCTATAGTCCCAGCTACTCGGGAGGCTGAGGCAAGAGAATCACCTAAGCCCAGGAGCTGGAGGTTGCTGCAAGCTGTGACGCTACAGCACTCTACCAAGGGTGACAAGGTGAGATTCTGTCTCTAAAAAAATAAGTAAATAAAACAGCCCAACAGCTTGGTGCCCATAGCTTAGTGGTTAGGGTACTGGCCACATACACTGAGGCAGGCAGGTTCAAACCTGGCCCTGGCCTGCTAAAAACAACTGCAACAAAAAAAATAGCCGGGTATGTGGCGGACAACTGTAGTTCCAGCTACTTGGGAGGCCGAGGCAAGAGAATCTCTTAAGCCCAAGAGTTTGAGGTTGATGTGAGCTATGACGCCACAGTACTCTACCAAGGGCAACATAGTAAGACTCTGTCTCAAAGACAAACAAAAAAAACAGCCAAACACATTTCTGCAGGACTTTTCTGCCTTTTAATATAAAAAAATCTACCATGAATCAGTAAAAGGGACATAGGATAAAGTATTTTCCCCTAAACTCATTTAAGCACAGACCCAGATAATTTTCTGGGTATCTCCTGAAAATGATACCATGTAAAATGCCTTGGGGCTCGGTGCCTGTGGCTCAAGAGGCTAAGGCGCCAGCCACATACACTCAAGGTGGCAGGTTCGAATCCAGCTCGGGCCTGCCAAACAACGACGGCTGCAACCAAAAAATAGCCAGGCATTGTGGCGGGTGCCTGTGGTCCCAGCTACTCAGGAGGCCGAGGCAGGAGACTCGCTTGAGTCCAGGAGTTGGAGGTTGCTGTGAGCTGTGATGCCACGGCACTCTGCCCAGGGGGACAGCTTGAGGCTCCTGTCTCAAAAAATAATAATTATAAAAAAAATAAAATGCCTTGGGAAGTGAACAAAAGAAAAGCCCAGGTGCGGGCAAAAGCAGATAGATTCTCCTCCTGTGTGTACCAAGATTCGCTTTCTCATCTCCCGACTGTTTAGAACAAATATTGATAGAGGCAGTAGTGAGTAAAGAGGGGACGGCATATGGTGGGAAAATCCTCAGTTCGGCTCTGGGCTCAACAATAGAATGGTGATGCTGACAAGTAAATATAACCATATGCAATGCCTGACCCCGTCTTGACACTCAACCACAAGCGACAGCTATTATTAGATGGGGTAGTGTGTGACTCCCTCTGTGGATAAAAGCATGGAAATCGAGTCAGGTGAAGCCATCACATTTTTGAGTGACAGCTGCCAGGCCAGACAGCCCCTCACCCAGGTGCTGGAGTCCTTTCTGGTCCTTATACAGCCGCGTCACCCTCTCCATCAGCTCCCACTTCTCACAGCAGCCCTTGTAGTTGACAAAGTTGCGAGCCAGGATTTCCTTCAGCTGCCGCACCGTCAGGCCTTCGATGTCCTCCAGGTCAGTCAGGTCAGACAGAGAGGCCCTCCGGCCTGGGACAAAGCTGTCCTCTGAATCGATGGACTGCAATGGCAAAGATGAGATTGGAGGGCTCAACTCTTACCCTCCCCCTGCAAGCTCACTGTCCACAGACCCCAGAACACTCATCACACTATACTTTTGGTGACCAACTTTAAGAAAAGCAGCAAGAGAGACAGGAAGACTACCTGGCATGGTACTCTACACTGCAAAATAGACTACAGTCACTTCCTGACCCCCGGTTCTGTGCTCTGACGCACACAGCCACAAACCAACCAATGACTCTGACACAGTGGGAGGAGTACTGGTTTGAGTTTGATGGCCTTAAAAAAAAAAAGAATTTTTTTTTTTTTTTGAGACAAAGTCTCATTCAGTCATCTTGGGTAGAGTGTTGTGGCATCACAGCTCACAGCAACCTCAAAATCCTGGGCTCAAGAGAGCCTCTTGCCTCAGCTTCCTGAGTAGCTGGGACTATAGGCACCTGCCGCAAAACCTGGCTATTTTTTTTATTTTTTTTTTTGAGACAGAGCCTCAAGCTATCCCCCTGGGTAGACTGCTGTGGCATCACAGCTCACATCAACCTCCAACTCCTGGGCTCAAATGAGTCTCCTGCCTCAGCCTCCCAAGTAGCTGGGCCCGCCACAACACCCAGCTATTTTTTGGTTGCAGCCATCATTGTTGTTTTGGTGGGCCTGGGCTGGATACACCTTAGGTGTATATGGCTGGCGCCTTAGCCACTTGAGCCATAGGCACCGAGCCATCCTGGCTATTTTTAGAGACAGGGTCTCTCTCTGGCTCAAGCTAGTCTCAAACTCTGAGCTCAGGCAATCTATAAGCCTTGGCCTCCCAGAGTGCTAGGATTATAGGTGTGTGAGCCACCACACCAAGCCCTTAATTTTTTTTTTTTTTTGAGACAGTTTTACTATGTTACCCTCAGTAGAATGACATCACAGCTCACAGCAACCTCAAACTCTTGGGATTAAGCGATTCTCTTGCCTCAGCCTCCCAAGTAGCTGGGACTACAGGCGCACACCACAACGCCTGGCTATTTTTTGGTTAAAGTTGTCGTTGTTTAGCAGGCCTGAGCCAAGCTCAAACCCGCCAGACTCGGTATATGTGGCCAGTACCCTACTCACTGAGATATGGGTGCTGAGCCATTAATTTTTTTTTTTTTGAGACATTGTCTCACTCTGCCCTGGTTAGAGTGCCATGTGGTCATCATCGTCACAGCAACCTCAAACTCTAGGACTCAAGCAATCCTCTTGCCTCAGTCCCAAATAGCTGGGACGATAAGCACTCAACACCACACCTAGCTAGTTTTTTTTCTATTTTTAATAGAGATGAGGTCTTGCTCTTGCTCAGGCTGGTCTTGAACTCCTGAGCTCAAGCAATCCACCCACCTTGGCTTCCCAGAGTGCTGGGATTACAGACGTGAGCCACTGCTCCTGGCCAGATGGCCCTAATTTTGAATCCTGACTCTTCTATTACTTAATGCTGAATAATATCCAGAAAGTTGCTTACCTCCCTGAGCCTGTTTGCCCTTCCATAAAGGAGGCAGCACTCCTACCCAACAAGGTTGCTGTGAAGATTAAACATGACAGCTCATGAAACCAACCAGCAGGCATGGTGCTGGCCTTCCTCCCTCCCCTGGAGAGCTCGGCTTGCCTACAGAGGTAGCGGGTTTCTGGCACACACTGCTCCATGCACACCTCAACTATAGCTCCATGACCTTATGGAGGTGCTTAGGACTGGCCCCATCTGGCCGAGGCCTGAATTTCCCATTACCTGACCTCCTTCCATGGACAGTGGCTGCCGTGTGCTAGAAGCAAGAGAAAAGAGTGAGATTTCCACTCCAGTACCAGAAGCTTCCCTTCTGGCAGCTCTTAGAAAGTCAAGAGACTAGAAATATAACGGGCTGGGAGGCTCCCCAGTATCCTCTGTGGCCCCAAAACTCCTTTTTAATACACAGACAGCTTCAAAGGCTCATGTGGAGCACTAACACTCCACTCCACGCTAAATGCAGAATTTCAGAACTGTCACCACAGACTGAGTCTTCCCTCTCCACCTGAGTCTGGGAGGTTCCTAAGAACACCAGTGAAAGCACAAAGGCACAGGCACAGATTTGAGCAGAGGCCCCACCTGGGTCTCGTCCTCAGCAGGTGCTCTGGCTGTGCTCTCCAGGTAGACAGACTCTTCGTAGTCCTGAGACACGTGGCCATTGGCCTGCAGGAAAAGAAAGGTGACATCACATCCACAGAGATGTCCCAGAGATTTCTATAGCACAGCTCTCTTTCTAGTTCACACAAAGTCCAGAATGTACTCCTCCCCCTCCCCTAAATCTGGAGCCCCTCACAACAACATTGCAAAAGCCTACTGTCTTATACTAACTTTGTCAGACAGAGAAACCACACAAAGAGATTTCAATAGACATAAAGCTTCCCTCTTGAACAAAAGCACATTAATTCTGCCCACCACCAGGAAGGCAAGAGCCACAACTGTCAATTTAATCCCAACTTGAAAAATCCAGGTGAAAGGGAGATCACTGTGTCCACTGTTCTGCTGGGTCTCTTCTCTAACTGCCATCAAGTTTTTTCTTGACACTGATCCAAAAACTGCCTTCCCTGTAATTCCACCCACTGTTCCTAGTTCTGTTCCTCAGACCAATGTCCACTGTTTTTTCTTAACTTTTTGTATCACGTCTTCCCCTCCTTCCCACTGAATCTCCCTGCTCACCTGACACGGATGGGACAAAGTTTCCAGACCCTCCCCTTCCTAGTCTCTCTTTTCTGCCTAGTAGCTGCTCTCCCATTCTAGAAATATGCTTGCTTCCGCCAATGGGGCACACTATTACTAAGAGCTGTCTTGAAACTGGAACAACATTATTTTAATGTACCTACGAATCAATTAGGCTAAGACCATGTAAGACAAATGTCTACGCTTAAGGAGTTTCCATTCTGCTTAGAATTCTAGCTTCTCAAAGGTTCCTCCTAATTACTCTTTTAATACATTTTGCAAAAAAGCAGTCAGAACGGTGAGCTTCCCAATTCCACAGCCATTTAAACCATGTGGCTTAACTGCATCCTCTTCCCTCACTGCTCCCTCCCTGTGCAGACTCTGGGTGCTATGTGCCTGTGAACTTATCACACAGCCTTGCTCAGAGCAAGGAGGTAGCTGAGCTCACAGGCCTTTTCCACCAGACCCCAGGAGCACCAGTAAAGGCACAACCTGGGAAACCAAAGACGTCCAGATTACCTTATCCCAGGATACATAACATGGAGCTAGTCAGGGAGGGCCAGCAACTGCAGTGGGAATGAGAAGCAGAAATAACAACAAAATGCCAGGTGATGACAAGATCACACAGACAGCAAACACGTCACACCGGGGATGCATCCAAAACAGTGTCTTCATCAGCACCGTTAGCCTTCTCTTCGCCTTATGTAGATGTGATGCCCACAGACCACTCGGACAGTGTCATCTGGAGTTACCTTGGTGCAGTGGTTCTCAACCTTCCTAATGCTGCCACCCTTTAATATAGTTCCTCATGTTGTGATCCTCAACCATAAAATTATTTTCATTGCTACTTCGTAACTGTAAATTTGCTACTGTTATGAATCATAATATAAAGATCTGATATGCAGGATATATTTAGGCGACCCCTGTGAAAGGGTCGTTTGACCCCCAAAGGGGTCTCGACCCACAGGTTGAGAATCACTGCCTTGGTGTCTTTAAGAGCCTAACTTGTTCCTAACCAGAAAGCTTTTGTGTGTCCTTTTTTCCTAGAAAGAGAAACTGGACCTCGTGCTGCTAAGCATGCTCTTGTCTTCCCAGTCTGCCCACTGGCTACATCAGAATCTACGTTAGTACCTCCCCAAAGTTGTGCTTGCTGTGCATATTCTTTCCTTAGTGGCCATTAATAGAACATTAATGGGAACAGAAAGAACCCTGCTGGACCAAGTATCATGAGATTTACGCTCTCGGGGCAGCTTGTCGTGGACTTGTCAGACAGCCTTGCGTAAGTTCCTTAACTTCCGCGTGCCTGTTTCTCCTGCTTGCAAAGTGCTGAGTGGACTAAGGCCTTCTGAAAATCTCAGAGTTAAAGTACCCAATAAGATATACAGGATGACTGCCGGTACAATCTAGAAACTTCTGGATAATGATAGGAAGCTTTTAATTTTCACTGAAGAACACACATGAGGGTTCTTCCTCATTTGAGGAAAAATAATTCAAGTCCCTCTCCTGACTCCCCACAAATAGAGAAGAGTGATCCAAAAACTAAGCAAGGGGAGGAATGTACAGTAGGAGGTAAAACCTGTCCAGCAGACCAAGAGCCAGAGCCCAGGAAGTAGTTAAAGTCCAGCTAGGGAGCAAAGCCTGCTCAAGCCAACAGGGGAGATAAGTGATTTTACTGCAGTTAAATCATGCTGCGACATTGGCCTTTATGCCTCAGCACCTGTCAAGAGCTGAATCAGGGGGCCCAGGCCCAGCAAAGGAGGTGATCAGGAACAAGCAGCCACCGCCACCCATAGCACACATGGCAGCTGACACCACCAGCACCAGCACTACAACTCTGAGTAGCTCAAAGCTCTTCCCAGGTGGCATCACGCCATCCAAGCCTCCCCACACCCTGGCAAGATCCAAAGTGGTCTGGGATTACTTATCCCATTTGATTGTTATAGGCTCAAAGTTTGCCCACAGTGACCAAAGAGTCAGTGATGAAAGTGGATATGGAAACCAGATCTTCTCGTTCCTAATCTCTCCACTATTGCCTAAGTCTTATAAATAATGGGTCACTAGGACAGTTATGGAGACCTGTGAGATGCTACCACTCCTGACGATGGTTCTGTCCACTGACCTCACTCCAGTATCTAGCAGTTAGGTGGTCTCTGTGTCCACCTTCCCTGTTCCAGGCGCACTTTGAAGACAGAGGGTATTACTCGTTTCTGTGCTCCCCAGGCCTGCTTCATGATTCGGTCAATAGGCTGCTCTCAGGTTACCATTTCCAGGCCCCAGGGTAATGATGAAGCAGTGTACAGTCCAAAAGCATGCTAACCAGGCCCCTCCCAAAGGGGGAGGGGAGCCATCTCCTTGTCACAGAGTTTCCACACTCTCCTTTCTCTCCCTTTGGTGTCCTATACGCCTTGTGGTGGTTATCAGGAACCGAGTTCCCAACCCAGCTCAGGAAGCCCACAACAAAGGGAGGGGAGTGAGTGAGAGGGCAAAGTGGAACAGAACCAAATTGGGAGAGTTAATAGCAAGTTTAAAAGACAAAAGCAAGTCTTATCAAAATATTTCTGGACCATAGAACCTTTTAAAACTGCCTATCTGGGCTATCATTGTATTAAAAACAAACAAAAACACAGAAAGAAAACTTGGTTCCTGTGTATATCTTCTCTAAAGAAAGCTAAAACATGAGTCGGATGCCCAGAAAACATCACTTCATGTGTCACTAGGCAGAAACACGTCACATAACTGACACACTTAACATCTCACCCCAGCCACAGTGCAGCGAGGAAAGGAAAATAAGCCCTTGGCTGGCACAGAGTGGGCAGAGACTACACCTGGGCTTGTACCTGCTGATGCTCTGGAGCCTGGGCTGGGGGGACAGAGGTGGCTTGTGCAGACGAAGAGGCGCTGGGTGAGGTAGGAGGCACCATGCTGGTGTGAAGCTGGCTCAGGAAGGCCTGCTGCTCGGGGAAGTCCGGGGACAAGGTAGGGGCACGAGTCCTGTCCTCTTGGGAGATTATAGGCTGCTGGCCAAGCACCAAGAACACCAGCTCTTCTTTCTCCCGGCACGTTTCGGTAGAGATGTCATGGAGGCTGAGATAGTCCCTCAGGTCCTTCACCTTCATCTTCATGAGCTCCTCCCGCTGAAAGGCTGTGGCTCGGAACCGTTGGCAGAGAAGGCAGAGGCGGGGCCCATTCCCCTCTTGGCTTGAACAGGTCATGCAGAAATTCTTCTTACAGTCCAGGCAGATCTGCTGCTTAGAGCAAGAGGCAGAGGCCATGTCAGATTAAGAAACAGAGTGGGGGCTTGGCACTTGTAGCACAGTGGTTACTGTGCCAGCCACATACAGCCAGGCTGGCAGGGGCAAACCTAGCCCAGGCCAGCTAAACAACGACAACTACAACAAAAAAACAGCCAGGCATTGTGGCCGGTGCCCGTAGTCCCAGCTACTTAGGAGGTGAAGGCAAGAGAATCACTTAAGCCCGTTTGAGGTTGCTGTGAGCTATGACACCACAGCATTCTACCAAGGGCAAGAGAGTGAGACTTGGTCTCCAAAAAAAAAAAAAAGACTGCCAAACCTATCAGGATCCTCCAGTTGATCTTATTTTTACTAAAACTCCAGTATCTAAGGGTGTAAGCCATTTTGCAAATTTTAGATTAAAAGCCACTCAGGGCTGGGTGTGGTGACTCATACATGTAATCCTGGCACTCTGGGAGGCTGGGACAGGAGGATCATTTGAGACCAGCCTGAACAGGAGTGCGATACCCTCCCATCTCTATAAAAAATACAAAACTTAGCCGAGCGTAATGGCACAGGCCTATGGTCTCAGCTACACTGGGAGGCTGAGGCAGGAGGATTGCTTTAGCTCAGGAATTTGAGATTACAGTGAACTTGGGCGAAGCCACTGCATTCTAGCCCAGGTGATAGAGCAAGGTCCTGTTTCTACCCACTCCCCAAAAAGAAGCCCCTCAGCGATGGCAGACCTCCAGTATGTATTTGTGTGCAGGCATGTAAAGGACATTTCACATTATTTCACTGAGGCTTACTTTATTTACTAACAGAGAACCTGAAGGATATTAATCAAGATTACCAGCTTTAGAATCAAAAGACTCTGCATTTTTATTAAGTCTCCCTCATTTCTTGCAGTGTCACCACAGGTAGGTCACTTAGCCTTTCTGGGTAGTTTCCACATCTGTAAAATGGGGGTGATAAGAGTATCTACTTCATGAGGTTGTTTAGCATACCTGACACGTGAGTCCTTAATTACTGTTAGCTGTTTTAACTATTATTGCTAGCAAACATTAGCTAAAGATAAGAGCCAGGATTCAAGTCTTATGAAACTATGATTCTGGGGTAACGTCTGTGGCTCAGTGGGTAGGGCACAGTCCCATATACCATGGGTGGCAGGTTCGAACCCAGCCCTGGCCAAACTGCCACAAAAAAATAGCCGGGCATTGTGGCAGGCACCTGTAGTCCCAGCTACTCGAGAGGCTGAGGCAAAAGAATCACTTAAGCCCACGAGCTGAAGGTTGCTATGAACTGTGACGCTGCGGCACTCTAACAAGGGCAACAAAGTAAGACTCTGTCTCTAAAAAGAAAAAAAAAAAAAGATGAGGTATATGTTAACCAGTGTGATGTAAGCATTCCTAATTCTATGTGAAATAAGCACATTGTACCCCATAAATGCATTAATGTATACATGATCTATGTGTTTATGATTTAATAAAAAAAAAAGGAACTATGATTCTAGCTCGGTGCCTATAGCTCAAATGGCTAAGGCACCAGCCACATACACCAGAGCTGGAGGGTTCGAATCCAGCCCGGGCCTGCCAAACAACAATGACAACTGCAACCAAAAAATAGCCAGGTGTTGTGGCAGGCACCTGTGGTCCCAGCTACTTGGGAGGCCGAGGCAAGAGAATCACTTAAGCCCAGAAGTCGGAGGTTGCTGTGAGCTGTGGTGCCACAGCACTCTACCCAGGACAACAGCTTGAGGCTCTGACTCAAAAATAAAGAAAAAAAAATAGAAAGAAACTTTGATTCTTTTTTTTTTTTTGAGATAGTATCTCACTTTGTACCATGGCTCTACCTGGGTCCTGGGTAGACTGCCATGGCATCATAGCTCACAGCAACTTCAAACGCTCAGGCTCAAATGATCCTTTTACCTCAACCTCCTGAGTAGTTGGTACTATAGGCACCCACCAACGCCTAGTTTTTTTTTTGTTTTTTTTTTTTTAAATCACAACACTTTTTCTTTAGCAAAAAGACAAAAGAAAACATGAATTTTGTGAATGCCAGAACTTCAGAGGAAGGGGACACTGCTGGGGGCTGAAAGGAAAGTAGCATGGGAGGCAGAGACAGAGCAGGTGGAGGAGCAGCTGGGAAGCTACAGCAAGGTCCCTGGAAGTCTGTGCTGCCCAGCCCCTGCCCAGGGTGGGAAGCAGTGTGGGCATGAACGGGAAACACAGAAGCAAACAGAGGGTACAGGCTCGGCGCCTGTGGCTCAAGTGGCTAAGGAGCTAGCCACATACACCTAAGGTAGCAGGTTCAAATCCAGCCCAGGCCCTCCAAACAATGATGATGGCTGCAACCAAAAAATAGCCGGGCGTTGTGGTGGGTGCCTGTGGTCCCAGCTGCTTGGGAGGCTGAGGCAGGAGACTTGCTTGAGCCCAGGAGTTAGAGGTTGCTGTGAGCTGTGATGCCACAGCACTCTACCCAGGGGTACAGCTTGAGGCTCTGTCTCAAAAAAAACAAACAAACAGAGGGTGCAGAGAGCCCAGACCACCCAGCCTCCAGGCTATGGGCCCAGAAGCCTCAGCACTTTGTCAACAGCTGCAGCAATCAAGCTGGGATCTGCTCAGTGGCTATTTTTCTTTTTTCAGTAGAGACAGAGTCTCGCTCTTACTTAGGTCTTGAAGTCTTGACCTTAGGTGAACCACCCACCTCAGCCTCCCCGAGTGCTAGGATTGCAGGGGTGAGCTACCACGTCTGGCCCAATTCTTTTTACTTTGCTACAGAAGAAAGCAAACACATGAAGGGTGATGGTGGTAATTGTTGTTAATATTAATATTAGTATTAATTAAATTTATTGAGGTGTTTTTATGTCCTAAAATTATACCAGGCTTGTCATTTAATTCTCAAAACAACCCCTTAGTGTTCTTTCCTGGTTCACAGAAAAAACAACCAAGACTCTCAGAAAAATCGAGTATTATCTCCAAAGTCAGAGAGTAAAGAACAGAACTGGGACTAACACTCAGGGTCTGCCTGGGGCCAATGTCCATGATCATGCTCTCTCCACCATAGCATGCAGCCTAGCTCTATCCCAGGCCCACTCAAGCATAGAGCAGAACTGAATCAGGACCTGCCTTTCCATCTCCAAACTCCCAACCCAGTGCTCCCTCCAAAGAGGCTGGTACCAGGCTCCCCCACTCCAGGAAGGCCCACTCAGAGTGCTGGGAACTCAGTGGTGCATAAGACCACATCCAAGACAAATATTTAGACAGCTAAGGGAAGCCCTCTAGACATCAGAGTGCTCTCATTCGTGAAAGTACAGAGAGTCTCAGTTAGGTGACGAGAGCGCCTGATGGGCAAGCTGGTACTGCCTGGCAGCAGCTACTCCCACAGTCACTGACAACACAGCACAGCTTGCTCAGCCCTCAAGAAGCAAATCCTCGGCCTCTCACCCCACAGGCTGAGCGAGCGCAGTGACATCTGGCTGAGCTCTGTTCCAGCCAAGAGCAGGTCATGTCCCCAGCAAGAGGTAATTCCCTAGCACACTGGGATCGTCCTGGGGGGGGGGGGGCACGCTCATTAATCCTTTTAAGAAGTTAAAAACTTTTCATTCTATAGTGACTTAAGTACTAACCGAAATATCTCTGCTCCTTCTTTTCTAAATATAGAAATCTGTTTAAGCCAAAAAAGAATGCTCAAGAGACAGAGTTCCCATAGTCAAGATCACAGGCACTCTTGTGTGGGGCTGAAGTAAAAGTCTGCAAAGTTAAGATAGTTGTATCTAGTTTTCATCTAAGCGTCATTCATACAGTAAAGGGAAAAGGAAGTCATGTTTACCATCCGGCTCTGGCTATTAAGACTTAGAAGGCATTGCGAAGGGACACGTATCAAGCTCCCTTATTCTCCATACAGTTATAACCAGACAATAAACCGTTCAGAGACGGACTTAAAAGGACACACGGCTGCCCTAGCATCCTAACAGTTCTGGGATTAGCAGCCATATCCATAAAAAATTGATGTTTGGGGGTATCTGGGGTTCATTCTTAGCTAAACCTTTCCTATTGGGAAATGCAGTGTGTTTAGGATGACTGATGGTGAAACAGAAGAGGCTTCAGAGTCACAAAGCTGGAACTGACTTGGAGCATTACTGAAGCCAATGCAGTTTGACAAGACGTTGCTTGACACAATTATAAAGCCGGTGTTGCTCAATCAGCCAGATCCAAACAACTGTCTATTCTTTCTTCCAATGTGTGTGGCTTGCTGGATACAAGATCAGAATGCAAAGACAGCAGCCCAGCTTCTGTGCACCCCTGCTCACCAGGGGCCCTGAAGTAAGCTGGCATCTGAAGCATACCCTACAGGAGCAGGACTGCGCTCCAGGCTAAAATCCGGGTTTGGTTTGCAGTAGTGAGAGAGAACAAAGGGAAAGGGGAAAAGGGCTGTCAACAAATGTGAGCAGAATGAGCAAAGGAGAAGCTTATGTATAAATTCTAGCAAATGGTTCAAACCAACTGAGGAAAAATGTTGCATGAAAGATGAATTAGTGGAGGCAACATGCCTGTGGAAACGCCCAGCGGGAACTCAGAAGTCCAGCTCTTTGATGCCCTCCAGGGAGGCCATGTGAGGTGCTCTCCGTCTCTCCTTTGCCAATCTGCCCCTTCCCTCACCCAGGACTATGGAAACATTACATGAGTGCACACACCTTGGTATTAGGTGAGCCCTCAGGGAAAAGTCACCTTTTTCTTCCTTTTTTTCCCTGTGCCTCGTTTCTGGGTCTTTGCCAGTACTTAGGACCCTCTCTACCCTTTCCACTCCGAGATCTCAATATCACTGCCGTGGCTCCAATACGACCTCTTCCTCCTCCTCAAACTAGTCCAAGCCGAAAAGGCTGGGTACCAAACTCCCTCAAAATTTGGTAGAGTCAGGGCCAACCACAGTAGCTCATGCCTATAATCCTAGCGCTCTGCGAAGCCGAGGTGGGTGGACTGCTTCAGTTTACAAGTTCAAGACCAGACTGAGCAAGAGCTAGACCCCATCTCTTAAAAAAAATAGCCCGGCATTATGGCAGGGCTACGTGCATGGGAAGCTGATGCAAAAGGATTGCTTGAGCCCAAGAGTATGAGGCTGCTGTGAGTTATGATGCCACAGCACTCACCCAGGGTGACAAAGTGAGACACTGCCTCAAAAAAACAAAATTAAACAAAACTAAAAAAATATTGTCAGGGTCACTACTAAACCATAGGTAGGTATTACCAATGCAGATGAGATACGTGAATAGTAGCAAAGTTACAGCCTGCCATTTCTTTCTAAGACTGAAAACTCAGAGAATGCAAGGGATGCATCTTACTTTATGCTCTCTCTATAAAGTCCTTAATGTTATCTGTGCTTTGCACTCAGTGAACATTCAGAAAATACTGACCATAATGGGGGAGTTAAAAGAAAAAGACAGTAAGATCCATGTAATCATTTCAATTCAACCACTTCCAAAAAGACATTTTTAAAAGCCTCTGGCTGTTAAATGCCAAACCCTTAAGATAAGAACACTGATCCACTTAAGCATGAAATTACAAATGAAAAATTCTCACAGCAGAAAACATCTTTAATATATACAAATTCATTGTGAACTGTACAAATTCATACTTGTGAAGCAAGAAATATTGTGCCAGGGCAGTGCCTGTGGCTCAAGGAGTAGGGCACCAGCCCCATATACCAAGGGTGGCGGGTTCAAACCCAGCCCCAGCTAAAAACTGCAAATAAATAATAATAAATATAAAAAAAAATTGTGCCAATAACCATCTTTTACTACCCAAACTGGAATTCTTCTCCCCCCATAAAAGCTTCTTGCTATACGTTCTTCTTGTCACATTGCATGGTGTGACCTACTCCACCTCCCTGACCACAAGCTCATGTCCGTGAAACAGGGATGACTTTTTTTTTTTTTTGAGACAGAGTCTCACTTTGTCACTCTTGGCATCACAGCTCACAGGCCTCCCAAGTAGCTGGGACTATAGGTGCCCGCCACAATGCCCAGCTATTTTTTGTTGCAATTGTCATTGTTGTTTAGCTGGCCCGGGGCAGGGCCACCCTTGGTGCATGTGGCTGGCACCATAACTACTGTGCTACGGGTACCAAGCCAGGGATGATCTTCATCACCACCTCCCTAGCCCAGGTAATGCCTGACACAATATTCAGTAATTTATCTTTCAATAATTTTTTTTAAGTTCTCTATTTTAATCACTGCCATGCTACTAGGCACCCATGCCTATCACGTGCTGTCTTCAATTCCATGCCACATGTTTTCTGGGAGAGAGCTTTGGAATCGAGGACCTGGGTTTGAATCCCAGCTCTCCATTTAATAATCATGTGAGCTTGAGGGACTACTGAAGTTGAGGGAAAAAGAATAACTATTTTAATATCTCTAATGCTATTCGGCAGGACTTTACATAGTTTTCTTTTTCTAAGCCTTAGTTTCTCATATGCAAACTGGAATTTAGGAGATTCTAAAACCTGTACCATAGTTATCATGAAGATTAAGTGAAAAAAAAAAAAATCTAAATTCCTTTAAAACAATCTCTTGCACATAGCAGATGGTTTCAAAGTATTATTTCCTCTTTAGTTTCCCATTATCACATTTTAACTTTACATGCTATCCCATCCTGGGCTGCAAATCTCTCCTTCTGCAGAACCCAGGATGCAGAACGCAGGTCTTTATCCAGGTCCGGGTTCACCTTCTGTCCCAGTGATGCGTGACCACAGAGAACCTACTGCCCTGGGGCACACAAAGGCGCGGCCCACGCCCATACCCTCAAGCACCATCACCCAGCCAGTCATTTTATTTCCTGCTCGCTATTCTGGGAAGCATGGATCTCAAGCATTTCAAATTAAATCTGCTACCATAAATAAGCTCGCTTCCAGTCTTTGTTAGCATCTTGATGCACTTAAGGCATCCCTGACAATGCTTTCAATAAAATAACAAATTAATCTGCAATCAGGCCTTTGATGATGGTGGCTAATGAAGGGAATCACAGTAAGTGTCTACATGTTCCAAACATCATACCAGGTACCCTTCAAAGCCTAGTTATCTTTTCTTTTTTTTATTTTCTGAGACAGAATCTCACTTTGTCACCCTGAGTAGAGTGCTGTTGCACCATAGCTCACAACAACCTCAAACTCCCGAGCTCAAGATGTCCTCTTGCCTCAGCCTCCCTAGGAGCTGGAGCTACAGGCCTGTACCACCACACCTGGTTAATTTTTATATTTTTAGTAGAGATGGGGTCTCACTCTTGCTCAGGCTGTCCCGAACTCCTGAGCTCAAGCAATCCACCCACCTCAGCCTACCAGAGTGCTAGGATTACAGGTGTGAGCCACCTCACTTGGTCTATTTATCTTATTTTATTCTTTTATTTATTTATTTAGAGACAGAGTCTCATTTTGCCACCCTCTATAGAGTGCCGTGACATCACAGCTCACAGCAACCTCAAACTCTTGGGCTTAAGCGATTCTCTTCCCTCAGCCTCCCGAGTAGCTGGGACTACAGGCACCCGCCCCAATGCCCAGCTATTTTTCAGAGACAGGATCTCTCTCTAGCTCAAGCTGGTCTTGAACTTGTGAGCTCAGGCAATTCACCCACCTCAGCCTGCCACATACAAGGATTACAGGAGTGAGCCACCCCGCCCTGCCCTATCTCATTTTATTCTGACAACATTTATTCAATGGGAAAACTGAGTCTCAAGAGAGGTTAAGTAACAAAAGCTGTAAGAAACAAAGCTGATAACTGAATTCATGTCTGGTGGCTCCAAATCTATGCTGAGACACTTTGCTTTTGCTTGGTTGTTTTCTCTTGAATGATTCTGTGAAAGGGACAGGTCTGGATCACCAGCATAGCACAAGGGAAGCAAGGTGGCAGGCATTCAGAGGTCAGACTTGCTCTCGGTCCAGAGGCTACAGAGGCAGATCAGGATGAGAAGTCAGCACTCACCTTCCTGGCCGTGTTTGCGAAATGGGCCCCACAGCCCTTGCAGCTTGGTTCGGAGCCTGTTGGGGAAGGGAAGGAGCTGTACCCAGGGTTGGAGTAGGCCTGCGTCCTGGCTCCCTGGGGTGGTGGGCCCTCGTCAGGCTGTCCATCCAGGCAGAACCAGTTGCAGCAGGTTGCCCACATGATAAAATCTGATACAAGGGAGAAAGTGGGAAAAGGTCAGAGGTGAGACACACCTCTACTGCCCTTTCCATCCCTGAGAGCCCAGGTGAGCAGTGATACTCAACCCACAGCCACCACCAGAGTCAAGGGGAAGACATGTTTTCAGGGACCACACATTTCCTGCTGCCTCCTCTACCACCACAGTTCCGGTTACATAGAAGAGGTGAGTACAGACACTTGGTCTTCCAGGACAAGACGGGCTGCCAAGTTGGCAAACTACCTTTAAAAGATTGCTGACCCCTGGTTGGTTTCTTTTCTTCTTCTTTTTTTTTTTTTTTTTTTGAGTCTCAAGCTGTCACCTGTAGTGTCATAGCTCACAGCAACCTCCAACTCTTGGGCTCAACTAATCCTCTTGCCTCAGTTTTTCTATTTTTCGTAGAGACAGGGGGGTCTCACTTTTTTTGCTCAGGCTGGTCTTGAACACGTGAAGTCAAGCAATCAACCTGCCTTGGCCTCCCAGAGTGGTAGGATTACTGGTGTAAGCCACCGCACCTGGCCATTTATTTATTTATTTATTTTTTTTTTGAGATAGAGCCTTAAGCTATCCTGGGCAGAGTGCTGTGGCACCACAGCTCACAGCAACCTCCAACTCCTGGGCTCAAGCGAGTCTCCTGCCTCAGCCTCCCAAGTAGTTGGGACCACAGGCGCCTGCCACAATGCCTGGCTATGGCTATTTTTTTTGGTTGTAGCCATCATTGTTGTTTGGCGGCCCGGGCTAGATTCGAACCCGCCACCTTAGGTGTTATGTGGCTGGCGCCTTAGCCACTTGAGCCACAGGCGCCGAGCCTATTTATTTATTGAGACAGAGTCTTACCCTGTGGCCCTAGGTGGAGTGCCATCAGCCTAGCTCAAAGTGAGCTCAAACTCCTGGGCTCAAGCAGCTCTTTTGCCTCAGCCTCGCAAGTTGTTGGAACTAAAGGCACCTGCCACAATACCCAGCTAGTTTTTCTATTTTTAGTAGAGACGAGGTCTCTCTCTTGCTCAGGCTGGTTGGGCTTGAACTCCTGAGCTCAAGCAAGCCACCCACCGTAGCCTTCCAGAGTGCTAGGATTACAGGCATGAAGCACCATGCCCCTGATTAGGTTTAATCTGAAATCAAACTTCAAACAAAAATATTTTCTTATCTTGGCAATTGCAAATGGCTCAACCCCCATTTTATCCAGGCACATGGGCTTATCATTACAGCTCAGACAGACAAAATTTATCACAGATAGACACACACACACGCGTATAATTCTATACTTATAACGACCATGGGAAAGATGTATTATTAGTTATATAAGAGGCAACCCAGACTTAAGCCAAAATACATAGCTAATACACAGCTAACATAGCGAGTTGAGATTCTAAGAAGCCAGGTCTTCTGACCCCACAGTGTCCTTTCCCCATGCCATGTTGCCCTGTTTCCCCTCCCCCCAGCCAGCAGAACTAACTCCTCTTACAGTTGTGCCCCCAATCCAACATAAACTTCTATCACAGCCTCTAATACAGTTTCTCCAACAGACCTATCTGTTCTTTCTTTTCTCCCAGTAAGCCATAAATTCCTCTAGGGCAGCGACTACTTCTTATTCATGTCTGTTCTGTACCTGAACACTGTTGTACACACAGCAGATGCTCAACAAGTTATCTGCCTCCTTGCTCCATCAGTGCCTCTGTAGGCTCATGAAGGAGTTTGTGATTATTATTTGCATCTTACACATTAAATGCAGGTGTTGGAGACGGGGCTGAGGATTTTTATCACCACAGAACAAAGAAGGTCCAAACCCTCAAATGTCAGAATAACCTAAGGATTATAAGAAGGTCCATTAAAATGCAACGCACTGCTGTGGTTTGTAAGTATGTTTTTCTTGGTATTCTAAGACTGTCAATATGGACATTTTGAGGCTTACAGAGACAATAGAGGAAACATTCAGTGTCATTATTTGGTAACCATTTCACACAAGAGAATCATCTGCTCCTGACTCATTGTTTTAACAAAGGCACTTTCATAGTTCAAAGATGTGGTAAGCAGGAAGAATCCAAGAGGCCAACTGGTCCAACCCTGGTCATTTTATAAAGGAAAAGAATAAGGCACAGCAAGGGGAAGTAACTTCTTGGGTCATACGAGTTACAACATTAGGCTTCCTGACTTCTCTGGGTTGTTTTGAGCTTTCCCACACTGCCTCCAGTGCCCCTGGGATACAATTCATTTCTTCTGCAGGGGCCTCTGATTAACACCTGTCGGCCCCATTTGCCCATGATGCCCTAAGAGAAAGGGAAAGAGCAGGTCTTAACAGAGCCCAGTGAGCCCGATAAGAACCACCCAATGAATGAATCATATACAATATTTAAATCTTAACTAATCACATATTCATTCAGTTTCTAGCACATCAAAAACGTTTCTTTCTGACTCAATATTACTTGTCTGAGACTCTTAAGTTCCCGTAAGAGGAAGACCTAATCTGCCTTACTTGCAATCAAGAGTTCATGTGGGATAATGCAACAGAGTGCTGCACACGGCGTATGTACGAGAAAGTAAATGAGTTCTTTGTTAGCAAGAGAATGGGGTCGACAGAGGAGTAGTAGCCCCCTGAAATAGGAATTTTATAATTCTCTAAATCACTTGATAGATGTATCTGAAGCGTGTGTAGTAATAAGAACACAGGATCTGGAGTCAGGAGGCCTGCATCCCAAGTCCTGCTCTACTACTCTGGGCTGTTACCGACCACTCACAAGCCATATACCCTTTCTGTTTTCTCTTTTTCTCATCTGGACAGGACACTCTGTATGCTGTAAAGCACTAAATAAATATTAGCTGTTCTTATCAGCATTATAACAATGCCTTTAACTACAATTTCTCTGTAGTTAAAGGCGAAGGTACAGAGTAAACCTACAAAGGTCACCACAATTAGCATTCGGCTTTCTGAGTCTGTTTCGTGCAAAGGGTGCAAAGCTGTAGGTGATTCACTAACTTCTGTTAAAATCTCTACTCGTGCTCAAGGGCACGCAACCTTTACTGAAGCCAAGGCCTTGCTGTTTTCAGTGCTAGGTGAGGAAGGTAAAGTAACTATCTTCAAGTTGTTCATGGTCTACTAGGGGAACTAGACACGTAAAAACCAAAATTGAGACTTCAGGGGGATCAGTGCTTTTACAGAGGTTTTTACAGTGTATACTGGTAGAGGGAGAGGCTACAAAGATAGAAATGATCAGCTCTGTAGGGGCCAATGGGGGGGGGGGCGGCGCAGAGAAGTCTTCTCAAATGAGATGCCACACATCCTACCTCAATATGGAATAAGTGGGAATTTACCAGAAAGTCAAGGGTACAAGAAATTTCAAGAAAAACAAAAACAAATAGTAAGATCCATGGCATTAAAGAAAATACAAAATGTTTACTAGGTCACTAGATAGGAGTGGGGTAGACGAGGGTTTAAACAGTAAACAAGGAGCCAGGTAAAACCTTGTCCTCCAGGGTAAGGAACCTGGACTTTATCCTGTATGTAATGGGACACAATTATGGGGTTTTGGCAGTCAGGTTTTGTGATCTCATCTGTGTGTCAGAGTAGGCACTTGTGGGGACAGACAGCAAGAGGTGGGCTGGAGACAGGAAGTTGCAACAGTATCAGAGGCAAGATGTGCAGATAGGGAAAAAAGAGAAAGGGACAGTTGTGATCTCTGATAGAATTAGCAGGATGTGTCAATTAACTGAATAGGTGAGAGAGGAGGAGAAATGGGAGTACTCTGTGACTAGGACATATCCTTTACGCAATAGGATGAGGTAAGAGAATTAGCCAAGCACAGCAGCATGTGTCTGTAGTTCCAGCTACTGAGCCGACTAAGGCAAGAGGATTGCTTAAGCCCAGGAGTTTAAGGCTGCAGAGAGGTATATAATTGTGCCACTGCACACCAGCTGGAGTGATAGAGCAAAACCCCATCTCTTAAAAAAAAAAATTAAAAGATAATGGCATTATTGGTTGAAATAAAGCCCTTAGAAGGAAGAATGGGTGGAGGTGCAGGAGAGGCAGGGATGGGCTAAGATGAGTTTTGTACCTCTGGGATATGCTGATGTATACACGGGTACTTATCTGGGCTGAAATCTCTGACCCAGATAAGTACCCATGTATACATCAGATGGCCTGGTTCAGAAGAGGGCCTGGGAAAATCACATCTATAGGGCAAGCAGAGGAAACCAATGAGCAGAACAGAGGGAAGAGGAAAGCTCGCAGGTGGGAGAACTAGAAGAGTGTTTTAAGTTTCAAGAAGATATTATCAGCTCGGCGCCTGTAGCTCAGTTAGAAGGGCGCTGGCCACATACATCAAGGCTGGCGGGTTCAAGCCCAGCCCAGGCTGGGCCTGCTCAACAGCAATGACAACTGCCACCAAAAAAAAAAAAAAAAAAAAAAAAAAGCCAGGTGTTGTGGCAGGCACCTGTACTCCCAGCTACTTAGGAGGCTGAGGCAAGAGAATCGCTTAAGCCCAAGAGTTTGAGGTTGCTTTGAGCTGTGTCGCCACAGCACTCTACCAAGAGCACATAGTGAGACTCTGTCTCCAAAAAAAGAAAGACATTGTCAATGCAGGGAAGAATGCCAGATGCCCAATGGACTTCATTTTAGCAAAGTGTCAGTGTGATCTTTGCTTGAGCAGTTTAGGAAGAAAGAAGGTGACTGATAATCATAGGCTGGAAAGTGAATGAGAATTCACAAGATTCCAAGGATAAATTATTCCGTCAACAAATCTGACTGCAAAAGGGAGAGAAAGGCAGTTGCCAGAGAGGATCCAGGGTCACTAAGTGTAGACATATTCACAAACGGCCTAGGAAACCCCCAAACGAAGAGAGTGCAGAGGAAGGGAAGCTGGCAACAAGTGGTGAGAGCAAAAGCAAGGGCCAGAACAGAAAGAAAAGCAATCATGTGATCAGGTTAGGGAGGCAGATACTCCTGGACAGGGCAAAGTCATTCACCAGAGAGTGGAGGGGGGTGAAGGCAGACGTAAC